ATAGAATCAAATAAGTACCAATCCTAGGAACTTAGTTATTATTCACAATAACCTCATATGCTACCTTTGTGAACTCGTTGAGTGTACACGAGAATATATCCGTACTGTCCGCTATTGCATTCAATATGCGCAACGCTCGCGTCATTGGTGCCTTCTGCAAGAGGTTCGTGCGTGCGCACGGTACCACCAGCAGCCGCGGCCGCCGCCTACGCCGCACGTACCCGTTCGGAACACACAGGTGTAATTCCTCCAGTAGGGCAGGGTGGTGCGTTATACCTCGCAACACCTTAAACATATAAGTAGCTAGACCTACTTCACGCCTCACCTCCAGTTTGTAGTATCCTACCATACCCAGTACAAACAAAGTTGGATATGGTATTGGGTATCCAGGGTATATACCGTACGATTTTGAATAAATGAATCTGGCAAACTTATTTTGGATTCGTTCTATCATGAACTTATATTTGTCCTCATGTGGACTCCAGATACCAGAGTTACATTCCAAGTGACTTTTAACTAAAGCTTCATAGAGCGCCCTTAAAGCTGCGTTGTTATTGAACTCGTTTGCCTGACGTAAAATAAAACCTACATTGCGGTATGCCTTCTTGCAGACATCCATAATGTGTTTCCTGAAGTGTAGCTCTGATACAAAATGGACTCCTAAATCTTTCACCTCCGTAACGCGTTGCAACAGTTCACCATCCATGCAGTATCGGTGGTGACGGGGACTGCTTGCACGAGTGAAGCATTTAGCAACGTTGAAATACAACTTGAATTCCCGGCTCCATTCAATGACTCTGTCAATATCGTGTTGAAAACTAACATGGTCCTCGTTATCCCTTATTTCGTGTATAAGTTTTAGGTCATCTGCAAACAGTAGGCATATCGATCCTTTGATTATGCTTGGTAGGTCATTTATCATTAAATTAAACAGTAAAGGACCCAAGTTACTGCCCTGGCTCACCCCGGACCTCGTGTAATACGGCTCAGAATAGTACCCGCCACAGTCCACGTATTGGTGCCTGTCTCCAAAGTATGTGGAAAAGAATTTAAGAGTGTGTAGCGTAAAGCCTATTCCGGCAAGTTTCCTAAGGAGGACATCGTGATCAACTGTATCAAATGCTTTTTTGAAATCTAGGTAAGCTACGTCCACCTGCCGACCAGCATCAACTGCAGGCACCACTTGCGTCATCAACTGCATTAAGTTGCCCGTTGTTCCCCGACCGGGGCGAAAGCCGTGCTGAGCATCAGTCAGGTGGGCGCTTACCTGAGAATATAGATGGTTATGGATTATTGACTCGAAAACCTTAGCTGGAGCACATAGGACTGCCACAGGTCTATAGTCGCTGGCATTTGTACCTCCACCACCTTTCGGTACGGGCACGACTCGAGAAAGTTGCCATTGGTCAGGAAACCTCCCAGCTGCAATAAAGATGTTAAATAAATGTAGTAATGGTTCGACCAAAACCATGCGACAATCCCTGAGTATAAAAGGTGGTATACCATCCGGCCCCACTGATCGCTTAGGTGGTAGACGAGCGAGCGCACGACTCACTGCCGCCCGCTCCAGCGTGCCGAGATGCGCCCACGCGCCACTTGGCGATGCGGCGCAACTCGCCGCTTCTGCGCTCAGTGTAGCCGGCTCTGTGTTATATACAGTTTGAAAGTATCGGGCATACTCCTCCGCGCATTCTTCCCCCGACAGCACCTGTCCATTTTTTAATATCGTGTTTTGACCTGAGTTTCCCCTTTTCAGTCGTATATAGTTCCAAAAAGCTTTAGGGTCACAGGCCAGATGGTTCTGTACGCGGTCCCTGTACCGATTGTGGGCTAGCTCTGTTTCCATCTTAATCCTCGCTCTGTACCGAGAGAACTGCTCATAATCACTAGAATTTTTACTGGCCTTATATTTTTTGTGTAGTAAATATTTTGTTTTAATATCCCTAATAATATCCGATGTGTACCATACTGGATAATTATATCTATTGTTACGATTATTCTGTTTTTTAATAGGTGCGCAGGTATCAAAGACTTCGTTCATCTTTGTATAGAAGAAATTTAAAACCTCTTCAGGAACTTGCATACTATACATTTCTTCCCAGTGTATTCTACCTATCAAATAATATAAATATCTGAAGTCTACCTTGTGAAAGTTCCAACGTTTATATGGGTTAAGGTGTTGAGAGTCCTGCGCATGCGCCAAGTCGGCCGCCGCCGAATGGAGAACCGGCGAGGACTGCGCCTGCGTGGCGACGTCCACAGTGACCGTCAACATTATGTACACATCATGTTTAAAAAAAAAAAATTCTTTACTCATTATTTCTTTATTTCCTTACCTTTTAGTATTTTTTATGTTCTTGTTTATTCTTTTTATTGTTTAAATTAAAGTAGACATACATTAAATAATTAGATTATAAGTTCTTACTTTTGTATTTTGTAAGGCTGATGGCTACACAATCGAATTGGATTTTATCTGTAATGATGGTTGTTAGTGATGTAAATAAATGTTCTGCTTTAAGTTGTTTTATGATACGACAAAATAAAAAAAATACGTAACTTATTTTTTATTATTATCTAAGCGACGTACTTAATACATTTTTAATATCCATACCAGGGCATTATCCCTATTAGACTTTGTACCTACATACGTATTATATAATCTTATCTAAAACAAAATGAATAAATTTTCCGGTTTTTGTAATGATTAATAATGATAATAAATTTAATCTCTACATAATTATTTTGATTGAGTTCGTTTTAAAAGTTATCAAATTGATCTATTTATTTCCTATGAATCAGCGGTGCCCATGATTATGTGAATGAGGTTGTACAGGGTGGTCTATAAAGAAGTAGGTACCTACACAATCTTTTTTATTTTTTTTTAAACATAATATAATAAATTGTTTCCAAAAAATATAATTTAGGCTTGAAATCTATAAACAATAACCTCCTTTTATTATTTAGGACAAAAAATCGAAACTCTTTTTAGCACGTTTTTTTATTGTTCTCCGATTTTTGGCATATAAATATCGCGAAAAATCAGGAGTAATTGAAGCCATTTATTTTGAAAATAAAAATCATCTAGGTATAAAGGTGCGTTACGCTATTTTAAATCTATTAGTTTGGCTGTTCGCCGAAATATCTTCAACATTCAAACAAATTCTCCGAGTCGCGGTCAGTTAGATTGTAAGGGCTAATTTTTCAATAGCCAGATAAATGTTGTTATCTGAGTAATAAAATTGTTGCTGTCACTCTCTTATTCAAACATTCTGACACATCATAATTATTCACCAGATAACTCATATCTAACCATTGAAAAATCAGCCTTAAGTTTATTGTATTCGGCAAGAAGTACAAAATACACATTATCATTGATCTACAAACTAAACACAACTTGTATGTTACAGTTCTAGTAGATTTGGTCCAACGATATAACGCTGATTACAAACCCAATACAAAAATCGTATCAATATAAAAGACAACTTAATGAGGATAAATATTTGTAAATAACTTAGTTTATTAAAAAGAATAAGATGTGTGTGTTTATTTGTGTGTGTTTGGTGTAACTCTTGTATGTTTAGGTTTCTGCTAATAAAATGGTGCTTATTGAATGGGGTCTTTGATCTTGGAAAAGCGAGGCTTGCATTCTGGCTTACATTTAGGCTTACATTTCTGCCGTGTAAGGTAAGGGCGCCGTAACTTCTCCATTATCATCACACTTTCCCCACTTCCGTCGCCTCTCCTCAAAGAGGGATATTACCTGTGTGGATGCCTTCCCCTCTATATCCTATGGTGGTGAAGAGATCGTGCGATATCCACATATCGCACGATCTCTTCACCACCATAGGATATTGTACACTATTGCAAAGACGTTCTGGGCACTAGCTAACTGCCACTTTAAATTTGACTCCGATACAGGTGCCTTGTCGATAGTCATTAGTTGGACGAATACCAAAAACAACTACAATTGATGTTATGTTACAAAATACAGCAGGTAAGATAAAAATAAACACGTTTTGTCATTCTTAGCTAATATATATTTAGATTTAAACATTCGAAGCAAATTTGCAATATGTACATATTACATTTTACTTAATTTGAATATTTTACTTATCTGAATTAATTTCCATGTTTAATTTACATTATGGACTATAAAAAAATAACTTAAAAAATAATAATTTATAGAACAAATACTAAATTTGAGGCAAGAGGACGCGTTTGCCACAGATTTAGTTTTCCTAAAATATTTATTTACGAACTAAAATATTAAAAATATGAGTGAAAATGCAGTAAAAAACACAAAAACACTAAAATTTAAATACTCAACATTAACAACTATTCTTAGGTATTCATACTTTTATTAACTACAACTTAAAATAATATTTCATGTGATTAAATATGTTTTTATGTAATATAAATTTACTAAAACTAAAGTCACTTTGTGCAATTCTGGTACAATTATAATAATAGTAATATAATAATTATTAAGTAGAATAATAAAATTTCTTATAATAAGTATTAATTTCAATCACTTGTCAAACATTCTCATTACATTCTATGTAGCAAGATGTGATAACACAAAGGCTTAATCGAATATTAAAAATAATCGATTATACAATTATCAATCGCAAATCGATTTCTTTTGTAATTTCGTTCAAACCTATATGAAACTGCGAATAATATCGATAACGATAATATCGAGTTTCTTAAACCCATCACCCTATATTAATTTCTCAATCTTAAATATAAAATACTTAATACTTATTTTTTATACTTAATACTTATTATTTTAACTAAGCTTGTATTGTAGAGTTGCTTTTTTATAATTTTAACTTATTCAAAACTAATTAAAAATAAAATATATTGAATAAAAATTAATAAATAGCATTTGCAATTATCTTAAACCTAATTTTTTTACATAAAATTCAATCGAAATATTAAAGTCAAATTCTATTCTAAATTTAAATTTACAACTATTTGAAAATTAAAATTATTGCTTATCAATTATTGAATAATGCCACCACAACAGATACACAGAGCGCTACTAGTGAAAGTACAAGAGTTGACGCATGGTTTTCGTCGATCCATTCGTACACATCATCCCTATATTGGTCTTCCCAGTTAAGGTTCTCCTTCACATAAGCTAGAGCACGCTCAGCAGTCAATTGAGAGTCCTCAAGGTTATTGAATGAACTCTCCACCCAGATTTCAAACTGTGGACAGAAAATTATATCATTATTGCCTCTTAAAAGCACTGAAAACATAATCAAATTACTTCACGACTTGTGACACAGTATTTTGTTTATGTATAATATACATATGTTTTGGTTTTTTTATGAACTGTACACACCTGTTTGTACAGTTCATTTCATAAAAAAGAAGGCACAATAGTTCTTCTGGTAAAATTTTCCAAGGGATATGAAAGGTTTTTTTCAACACCGTAAATAGCTTCACTAAGAAGACTGACCGACAGACTGACACTTTATCTTCAAAATTTTGTTTGACATTCAAAAGTGCCTGTGAGGGTCAAATTGGAATAAATTATTTTTGACTGTCAAAACAAGGTGACTAGTGCGAGTTGGCTTTATATTACGCGAAAACACATGACATTCGACAACTCACAAAGCACTCAGCTAAAAGAAAAAAGTTTCTTACTTAACACGCTTTCTAAAAATCCGAATTATATACACAAAATGTGTCATGTATGAAGTTTTTAAGGAGTTCTGACACTTGAATTGTGACAAATTTTAAATTGTACCACACTTTAAGTAAATACGACTTTGACCTTGTTCGTAAAAAGTTTAAAACTCGTTTTCAGTATTTTTCTACTTACCTCTCTAGTTAAGTCTCTGTCTGCCATATTTTCCGCGAGGACGAATATTAACTCTTCGAGTTTCTCTACACCGTACCTGAATAAATCAAAAGAGAAATGTTTAAATCAGATTTCGTAAGAGTCTTTCTTTATATATGATCACCAACATATTGAAGATATACGTACATAGTTCTGATATCATTGACTCTTAGCCTCATGAAATCTCGAGCTCGGTCTGCATTCGTGTAACTACTTTCTGCCACTGCAGTGAAAATCTTTACTCTTTCTTCTACACCGTAAGGACTGTTTGCTGCTATAGTTTGCATGAGTAGTCTGAAATGTTATTTTGCTATTAGAATGTGATTGAAAATACATTATATACGTGCCAATGATAATACTAGCGATACAAATAATTTGTACAACAAACTAAGTTATTAAATATTTACGCACCCATTAATGAAGTCCGCATCATTAGAACAACCTAGAGACTCCAAAATGACGACCCTCTCGTAATGGGTCGGTTCGATTTCCAGCCTGTTGTATAACGCTTGTATGACCTCTTCACCTCCTTCTCTTACCATAGTACAGTATACTGCTGGCCTCATGTCATGGGGGATGTTAGGATTTCTGAAATGTAATTTTAAAACATTCAATTTATATTGAAAAATATTTAGAATAATGTACTATAAAGTTATAACTTCAAAATCGTCCACGTACTCATCTTTACTGCTTAATGAAATCATATAATTGTTTTAATATTGTTAATGACACTAATTTATCAGACACAGACTCTAAAGACGGCAGGAATATGATCTTCAGAAATGTTGTGTTTACTAAAATCTTGTCGGAGAACAATGTTTTGTTATACTTACACTACTTCGTTATTGTTAGGATCATAGAACCAGTCGACCGCTGCAGCGATGCAAGGTCTGTATCCAGCTCTACAAGCGTGGTCCATCACCAGACCTCGAGTCAATGAAGTCATCGCCGACTCGCTTACAGATGTATCGGGATAGAATGATATTTCTCTTTCAAAAGCTGGAATTGTTCTACGAACCATTCTCTGTAAAAGATCACCAACGACATAAGTATATCATAGAGCACAATGATGAAAAATATAAGGCTTATTAATATTTTATTGCCATGTACACTGTCTTTAGTAACATTATGAAACAAAAATGTACATAATCAAGGGTGAGTCAAATGGAAACCCAAAAAATGCGTTTTTATTGCTCTGAGAGACAGAACGGCTTTTCCGACTAAAATAACAATGCAATGGAATATCTCTTACCAAGTATATATCAGGATCTAAATCTTCATCGTCAAAAACGAAAGCTTCCAATCGTTTCTTCAAGAAATTCATATTTCTGACGAAAGCCTTCCACACAGCATATTCAGTTTCATGTTCCATAGACAGAACTACTGACAATGCTACATCGTAACCTAGCTGCCCGGCTCTGGCCAAGTTAAGAGCATCGTCAACAAGCTGAGAATAAAAAGTGTCAGTAACGTCAATGGCTTTGATCATCACTTTAATTTCTTAATTTTTTTCACATTTCTCAGTAATGGCGAGAATTATTTGTTTTAATACTATTTGAATAACCGCAAAAACCAAAAGAATAGCAACAGTAATTATTATTCTGGTAAACCAAACTCACAGTAGCACGATTCAAAGGGTGAATTTCTTCTCTCCTCTCAGGATCTTCAAGAGCTCCAATAATCCTTTCCCAAAGCCCGTTGTCATATGTCACGCGATAATATCCTGCAAATCATGCAAAAATAAACACGTTTTGAAGCTCATTTTAGACGTACCTACATAATGTATATTACATTATAATATTCTTGCTATTATCACAAAAATTACATTAGATAAGTTAATTCCTGATATAGAGGAGAACTTTTAAAAACCCATGTATTAGTAATCATACAAAAAACCTAATATATTAAATTAAATATTGTATATACAGGTTGCTCACGAGAAAAGTACTGTGAAAGTTTCAGTCACGCTCCCTATTAACGATGATAGTGTGACTAGAAACTTGATGTGCTTAATTTCAAATTGTCCATGTCAGTACGTTGTTTTTATTTTATTGCATTTATTTATAGTAATAACAAAAAAACTTTCCTCACCTTGACCCTGAATATTGAAAAGGATCCAATCTTCCTCATCTAAGAATACGTTTAAGTTATAATTTATATCCAACATAAACTGCGGATGGATGTTATCGAAATTTTTCTCAATACTTGTCGTATAGGTTATCGGTAAGAGACGGCTGGGAGATTCTCTGTTTGTAAAAGCGAAAGGAGTCTGAAAGACAATAACATAAATTACTATGACAGAAGACGAATAATAATAGGCGCCAAAAATAAGTAGCATCAAATAGCATTTTGCACTTTCAATGACCTTTGACGACACGTTTTGTACGCAGACATCATGTCATGCCTCTGGTTCTTATGATGAAGAGAAAAGCGTTGATAAATTATAATAATAATATATAATAATATATTATAATAATAATATATATATATAATAATATATAATAATAAATATAATAATAATATATATAATTACCTGATGCAACAAAACCCCGCTAAACGTACTTTCAACTCGTAAAACTGGATATCCACTACTTTGTACCCATGGTTCCAAATATTCGTCAAATTCACCAACCATACCATTATTATTACCCACTAATTCACTGTTTATTCCATCTATGAACTTCAATGTATTAATAGTTTCTAGGGATCTGTAAAAAATATGCATATCATTACTTCATATTTTAATAGTGTAAGTGTTAACGGAAATGTATGTAATCCGTCATTGTATAAATTTATATAATTCCTAAATTTGCTCGGAAATGTGTGAAATAAATTTTATAACACACATTTCCTAGTAAATCTATACATTTCCTAAATAGCTAACGGAAATGTATTACTTTAAGCTAAACTTACTTTTAACCAAACGATAGAGCTTTATAAGAAAATATAAGTAGTTTTTGTGCTAGATGGGCCTTAAAATTTAGTAAATAGTTTTGTTTTTGTAGCTTAGTTAGTAAGCCGGAAGAAGATATTATATTTTACGATGTGGTTGTTACCTAATTTTTTCAACCGAGTCTTAATAATAAATCTGTTTCTAAGTTTAACAACGTGTTTTATTAATTTTATTCATAGAAAGCATGGTTTTATACATTTCCTAATACGATATAGGAATTTTATACAATTTCTAGGAAATGTATACATTTCCCAGGATATGTGTGTATTAAATAATGTTTGGAACAATATTTTACACATTTCCTATATAGCTTCGGAATTGTATACATTTCCTAGTAATTGTATATAATTTCTAGGTTTCATACATTTCCGGTAACATAAGCATAAATAAAAGGTATTTAACTATACTTAAAATAATCAGTTATTAGTATGACTAGGTGATTTGCCAGAGAAAAACCCAGCTCTATCACGTTAAGTATTAGAAAAAGAAAAACTCCATTTCATTCATGTCATATCAGAACTCTTAATTAAGTTCTCGCCATGCCAAGAACGCTGACCTTGAATTAGAGTTCCAGTGTGACTTGAAAAGACCGCTTAGTCAACTATAGCACTTGGACTGTTGTAGTCAACTGTAGTCTACTAAGAATTTAGTTACAGTTGTCTAAGCGATCTTGTTCATTTAGTAAGTCTCAACTACAGACTGGAGTAAAAAACTCGCGATGCGATATCTCATTTTGTTCCTTAAACTAGCTTAAGGAAAGTTAAAGAATGATGTTCTCAGGCATTGAATTGGCATATCTGGCCTGATAACGACATACAGGTGTACAAATTATCTACAAAATTGATGACGATATTCAAAACGCTAGCTTGATAGATAAAAGAAGAACTTAGTATCAATATACATATTTATAAAAATCTTTAAATGAATAATTTGTCGACCCCGTCACTTACCGAACATTCAGGAGCGCTCTGGCTGATATTTGAATGAAGTCCGTATCGTCATCACCGAGCACAAGCCCGATCATTCTCATGATCGCAGCGCTCTTTATCTTGACGAGTCCATTTACATGGTCCCGTATTGCATCTTCGTCAAAAAGATTGTCTCCAGGTTCCAAAGGATTTGAGTTGATGTAGGCATCGCGTAGCAAACTCTCTTGTATGACTTCAGTTACGAATAATGTATTGACGTCTAGTAAATTTAGGTCAGCAATATTGTCGCCCTGGAACTGCAAAAAATACATAATGACATTACAGTAAAATGTATGTAAGTATGTGAAAATTCGATCTTATTATTAGGTAGTTCATAAAATAGCACTTTGACACATTTGTCGGGCATTTTCTGTCGTATTTCTTTGAGAAGATTATGCTTAAACAAATTCAGAGATGAACTTCTTAGCCTTTCTTCTGTGACAGCGTGTTCCGTGAGCTCTAGACCATTAAGAATCTAAATGGTTTTTAGCTCATTGTAAGATTTTTTTTGTAATTGGATAAGCCTGTCGCAACCTCCAAAACCCGCTGCGACTCCTGTAAGCCAGGATCTACAGTAGATACAACCATGAAAACACCGGAAAACTGAACTGCGTCCCGCATTATAGTAAGTATATTAGAAGAAGACCAACTTCTGCGTGGAACTACTAACCATTTTCATCATTTCATACGCCGAGTATGTTGTAAATCCTGCGACGACCCATTCGTATCTCCAGTTCTCCGGGTAGATTACATATCCAAACCACTGCCTTGCCATAGCCTCCGCTATTTTGGTCAGTGCTACCACCCTCTGTTTTACTGCGTGGACCGGTTCCATAAATACATATGGTTCCCTGCGTAAATAATTTCAAATTCAACATTACATAATAATGGGTACCATGTCTGAACTGTCTTAATATATACATTAAAATTTGTTGAAATCTACATTTATATTCCTAGTAAATTTTGTACTGTCATAGAGGTCACTTCATGTGACGCAATCATCATAGATATGTACAAGTCTTTTTTTAATTATGGCTTTTATGAAGTGTATAAACTATCTGAATCCAACTAAAAACCTTTATAGCAATAAGTTATTTTTTTTTATTACTTTTAAGGTCAATATTAATCAAATAAGTGATAAAACTCGAACACTCACCAAATACCGACTGTGGAAAGTGAGTTCCAATCTGTGGAGACATCAGGTAACACCATTATGTTCATTCGGCCATCTTGATTATTTATTATTTCGAAATATGGTTTTTGAGTCCATTCATTTAAATTATTGAAGTAAGAATTAATGGCTACGGAGGCTTGTGAATCTTGATTAGAAATTCCAGGTCTTGAGTACAGCAAAACGTTGGCTGTTGGCAAGTTGACAGTTACAAAATTGTGAGCCATCATGCCCCAAAGGTGTGGTGGACCTTCTAATGCTCGGAAATGGGTTCTGAAATAAATTATTAATTAAAAACATCTTATTTTTCAACTTTTATATTAGTCTAGATTTATATTACCGTGCTTATCAGAACTTAAAGAAAAAATCATGAAATATTATGTAGAATGTTTAAAAGTTGTAAAACTTACTGGCTGTTTTCTTCAAGCATAGAGTTAGATATTAGATGAGTATAATCCAGGCCTTCAAATGAGAAGGAGATTACTGATCCTTCTGTCGGCTCGTCCATGCATGGGAACACGCGTCTCGCGTATGTTGGATGTAGATTCATTGCCAAGTAAGTGCTGCGGACAAGTTTGTTTTATTAAGCATTGTAACTAGTAATAATATATGCTATAATAGTATAAATATCTCCGGCCACCGTGAGTGCGGGTCTGTGGACGGCGAGTCAAAAGTGTTATATTGACTCTTTGAAGAACGCTCGGGTCTGATTTTGGTCGGCCGGCAAGCGTCCTTACTCGCCTCGCAAGCGGGGCCCTACTGGGTCGATGTTCCGCCGAGGGTGCGGGGTAAGCGCAATAAGGTACCGCGGTCTCAGCCTAGAGCAGGAGTAGGAATGGGGTGGTTTTACACAGTGAGAGTCACTGACACTCCCTCTCGTCTCATCCTTGGTGAGACAAGAAATTTTGATGATTTTCCCTACACAAAAAAACTTTCAAAACTTGTATTGTCTTTCAATACTTGGTGTCATGAAAGCGACAAGATTTTAATATGAAAAATTTAATTTACCGCCCCTGGTAATGATTGTTTGAATATGTTGTTTGGGTCAACTACGTCATCGAGAGGACATCCTTGTTATGACTATTCCATTCACGAATCGGATTATTTGATTATAGCTTTTTATAAAATGTTTTCCAACACAATTTGTCGAATATTTAATTAATATGCCTTTTAAACATATACATATATATGAAATTCAGTATACGGAAATGGGTGGAGCCTTAAAATAAATGGTAGGAAAAATATGCTATTAATTTCTGTTGCGTGTTTCTAAATTTAGCATTAGGAAACCTTTAAAAAATGTGTATTACAAAAGATAACGTTTTATAAGCAAACCGAAGTCTATTAATAAATAAACTTCAATTGTTTTGAGTTATTTTTCCATGGTATTTAGATCTTACAATGGTCCAAAAAGGGATAAATATGACGTGTGGAAGATTTGTTACAATATTGTAATTTATTTTAACTTCTCGCTTTCGTAACCAGCTGTATTCAACTTAAGACCGCCTCGTCATGTATGGGATACTTAAATATAAAGTTTTAAGAGTTCTAAAATAATGACTATATATGCATAAACGTTTAAGATGTAAAGTTACGAAACGGATGAACATGAATATCACAATAAGACTAATAACATAATTCAACCACTATCGAGTTTTTGCAATAATTGACGAATCTTAAATATACAATCAAAGAAATTGTAATTTTGTAAAACGAATATGTCACAATTTTTTCTTCTAAATTAAGGTGTGTGGAACTAGTGTAACTGACGTCCGAGTTAACTGAATCACTGACGTAAATAAAACAAACGAGAAGGCATTATTAGTAGGATTGACGACCTCAAAATTTTTGCAATAAATAAACTGTTTTCCTTTTGTGAGGGAGTTAAAGTTATTTGATGATTTTCATCGAATCCTATTCCTCCTCCGGCTCTAGGCCGACGTTATCGCATTTGACCCGCAACCTCAGCACAATAAAGAAGCAAATGGTGGAATGCAGTTATTAATTTTAACAATCCTCTAGTTTAAAAGTATTTTAAAATATGACAAAAAGTAAAAAAAATATATTACTCTTGATTGCTTCCTCCTGCATAAAGGCCACGTCCTGTGTTTGATATTTGTCCTGTATACTCTATAATAATACTATACGTAGAAGCTACACTATCCGGAGAGATTTCGAGTCGTCCATCATCCAAATTGAATTCGGCGTCTTGAAGGTTTGTACCAGACAAAACTCCTGTTTTCACAGAATTGATATTTAAGCCTTCAGCATGAAGAATGATGTCATCTTCTCTAGTAGCTGCAGTTAAAAGAACGTCAAGTACAACTCGCCCGTTGAATGAATCTCCATCGACTGTTATTTCTACTGCATACGAACGTATTGTTTGACCTGGTCTAACATTCCTAAATAAATCACTACGACTCGCATTCACAGCTACATCACTGAAAGTCACATCGTTATTGAAATCCGGGATATCACTGTATTTTTCAAATAATTCTTCAGCAGCTTTTGTAGCCAAATTGGTTTCAAAATTTTCTTTTGTAGCCGAATTGGTTTCAAAATTTTCTGATTCCGTATTCACATTTAATAAAGACGAAGGTTTATTAATAGGTAGTGATGTCGTTAAAACGTTAAATAGGATTATATAGGTAAAGAAGATGCACTTCCACTTAAACTTGGACCAAACCATATTGATGGAATATAAATGGCCCTTCACTTTGATGCTAACACGTCCATCCGTCGGTTCGTTTTGCAGTCTTAAGGAAAATGGGACTTTGAGAAACACACGAATAGAAATGATTCGAGAGATACGTGATGATCTCGATAATGTCTCAACTTAGTTTAATAAGATAAACATTGAAGATAGAATACAGGTTTCATTGGAAACTTTAACTTATCAATTTCGCGTCTATTTTTCTTAAGATACCTGTATTAAGATAATACATTCAGTGAAGATGTAGATGTCAATATATTGTGATTCGTCTTATTACATAACTGAATCAAAAATAGCTAATTGACGTCACTATGCCGTTAGACTAAAAGAAAAGCGAACAATTATTTTTGCTATCAAAAGCTTTAATTGTAATGACGTGGAAGAGTACAGAATCATGCCATCTCATACTAATAGCAAAACTAGTAAGTACTACAGTATTGTCTTAAAAAAATTTAAAGATACTACTAGTTGGATATGTTCCACTCAACAACTTACGTTTTCTGTTTCCACAAAAAAGGGCATAATAGTCAAACCAATTTTTCTATCAAAAATGGAATTAGGTCTGACCCAAATAATTATCGGTTATCAATTCAGTCCTTATCTTATCCGAAGTTTTTGAAAAGGCAATGCTTATTCGATACAAAATTTTCTATTTACACTTGCTATTTCAAGTAAGTTAAAAAAAATGCCTCCTGTTCCTTTAAAAATGGTAGCTGAACCGCAATTTCTCTCGCAATCGTTAACTTACATAGCAAACCAATTACAAATAATGGCAATCACGTAGAACATCTATTTTAAGTCATCATTTAAGTTCTATTGGCATAACTGAAAAAGCATAAAACTGGATAGAACGAGTAAACGGTGTACATACTCATGTGTTTTTTGTATTAAGCTATCTTTATGACTGATAATTTAGGGTAATTTGACCGAAATCCTCGTATCTAAGTTAGCAACAGGTCATGGTTCTTGGATGGCTGAAGACCTTTTTTTACCCACTTTTAACTTCTGTATACCTAAAGGAAACCTGTCTTTTAACAAATTAAAAATTATTTCTTCATGCTACCTAGTGAGACTATGGGGAAAAAAGGTTTAAGTTTGTCACTTTTAAAAAACCATAAAACAAACGATTTTTTGGAAATTAATTTTTGAAAAAAGTTAATCAAACAATCATTTGATTAGCAGTAACAGCGCGACAGTCGCCGCGTCACGTGTCGCGGAATGCTGCTCATGAATATGGGTCTCTAGCATGGCTTGAAACGAGTCGAATATCTCGTCAAATTATTACGTGAGTAAGCCGAAAATATAATAATTAATTTAGAATGTCTCACGAAAGTTATAATAAAAATCATTTGATAATAATAACTGTCGGCACCAATCGTATATTTTACCCTTGACAAATCGAAGAATAACATATACTTATGCACTTTTGACCTGTCTGTGTGTGGGTGCATAACAACTAAATTAATATAGATTCTAGATATATACATCAAAGAGTTTCAAAGCTGTGACTTAGATGGATCGGTAGTTTGAAAGTTGCGAGGTATATGCTAAAATGACATATTTTTTAACGTATGTAGGTATGCTAACATTAATATGGGCTACTCGGATAAAAGGGTTATTAAACGAACGAAGCGTCTTTTATTATGTTCATAATATTATTTTACATTAGGTATCTTAAGTCAAGATGTTCAAAACAATGAGTATTTTCCGAGTTTCCTGGCTCTTATATATTTTTTTCGTACAACGGCGTTCTGTTGATAACGAACACAATAATACAAATAATATTTTAATCCGCAAGGCTGCTTGTGGCGAGCTGTTGGGTAGTGGCGACCCCACGGACCTGACTTCCGGGAGGTGTCTTGTTCTTCTCCCCAAGCAGCTCTATGTAAGTTGCCCCCGTGTCGCTACATGCTAGCGGTCGGTTCCCGAGGACCCATTAATTGAGTTTGCCAGTCACCCCCTGCCTGATTATCCGTATGTATCAATATTGGTCCGGGGCAGGGGCCATAGTATTTCCATAGTTATCATATCCACCAATCCATAGCAACCCATACCCATAACCCTATCGGTTTTTACCACAATAAACAATAGTCTTGCATCAACCGGGGATTGTTCTTGGGTGCATTTTCATAGTGCATACAGGGATAATTGCCGGCTGATGTCCTATTTCACTTAAGTTATTCAAAGGGCCTCTGTGAGTTAGTTTCGGTGTATGAAATTGAACATACAAAATTATTATTATTTTATTTTACTCGCTTATTAGTTATGCGTGGGAATAATTTCAAAGATACATTTTATGTTGAGTTAAATATTTTTCTATAATGCTGTGAAAACAATGTCCTTTGTACGTCATAATATAATATTAACTAATATTTGAAGATAAGTGTTGCGTTTGAACATAGCCGCTTTCCTTTATTTTGAATAATTTATTACTTTTAGTATTTTTTATTATTACTTACGAAATTTATGCATTTCTATGCATAAACATATTTAGTTATTCTGAACTAAATGTGTTTTTTTTTATTATAACTTTCGTGAGATATTCTAAATTAATTATTATGTTTAGCAGCGCGACAGTCACCGAGTTGCGTGTTGCGGAATGCTGTTCATGAATATGGGCCTCTAGCATAACTTCAAACTAGTCGAGTATCTCGTCAAATTATTACGTGAGTAAGCCGAAAGCATAATAATTAAATGTTTGTGTTTATATTGCTATTACATTTTCGGTGATTCTAAAAACTAAACCAACATAATATTAGACACCTTTACACCACTTGAACTACTATTCTTTACCAAAATTATCGAAAATTGTTTGGACATTTTAATTTGTTATTGGTAATAAACTGACTTTAAAATTTGGATTTTTTAGACTAAAGTAGATAGTTGATTATGTTTCCATTTAAAGTTCACATGCCAAAACTTAGCTAAATATAAGATAAGAACAAATAATATAACATGTAAGTCATCAATTGTATGTACTCTATTTAAAAGTGAATAAATGAATTTTGAATTATGAAAGACAAAGTTGATAAGAAAATAGTATTATAATTATCTGCTTGCATGTTTTAAAAGGCGACATGGAACTTTAGTTTTGACGAAGAGATAATAGCAGCGCTGCTGTTTGGCTGACGAAATATTTAGCGCTGAAATGCTCCGGATGCTTAGTTAGCTTAGCATTATTCTCAACTCTTGACCGGGCTTGAAGATGTGACGCATGTGTCAGCTCAAAGTAAACACAATTATTGAAAGTAGTCAAATAAGAGCGTAAGGTGTCATAACATCGTGAAGTTATTCTATATGTACCTATATGAGATCAAAATTCCAATTTAGCACATCTAAGTACCTGTGCTAATGGCAAAATAGTTCTTAAAATAATAAAGCGACAAAAATAGTTGTAGCTTAGACGGCAAAACTTTTCTATAAATTTTTACAATGTCGTGCAATTCATTAATAACTTAGTGATGGGTGGGATGGGTTTCCTTAAACAGAAAAACAATGAAATATTTTCTCCCACTCTAGGCGAGAATAGAGGGAATGTCAGGCTCTTACTAACTATAAATCGTCCTATTGCTTTTCCTGATCTCCAGCGGGGAAAAAGTCCATTATTGCGTGTGTACCCGCAACCCCGGCTGTAGTTGTAGGGCTTAAGGTCAAAAATACTACAACCGCCAGTTTTACAAAACCGCAACCTCGTGCATAAATGTTAAACAAAAGAAACTTACTTATCTCCATAGCTTCCTCTGTACAGCCCTTTTCCAGCCACATTCAATGCTCCAGAATATTCAATAAAGAATGTATATAACAAAGCAATTTGTTCTGGTTCTATTTCCAGTATTTGGTCATCGTCATCCGTAGAAAAAGGGGCATCAAGTTGATTACTGCCACCCATAATGGAATACCGCACTGCGTTTATATTTAAATCAGCAACGTGTAGAACAACTGGATCTTCCCTTGTGCTTTCGTCGGAGAAACGTACTTGGATGACCGCTCTTCCATTAAACGTACCAGCATTTACATCAGCACTTATTTCAACAGCATAGTTCAAAACCTCCATCCCAGGACGAACCTGATTCCTCAATATTAAATTCGTAACTTCATTTGAATTGCCTTCAGTAACATTAATCACATTTTTACTTTCCGGTTCGAGTTCCAACTCATTAAACTCATCAGTTTGAATAATATTAAAATCAACAGGCTTACATGTAACTGACACTATAGTTATTAAAAACACAAATCTAAAAAGACCCATTTTGACAACACTAGATGGTAACTTCTCATCGAATTTACGCTTATGCGTTTTCGTCGATGACCTATAAATAACTGACCAGATTTTTCTTACAGTTGACTCCGAGATCTAAAAGTACTGGGCAGATAAACTATGTACACTATGTTTCAAGATTAGTTATCATTTTTAGAATCGAGCGACAAATGTATCAGCACTCTAGTTTTCGATACAAATTTTTATTTATCTATTTTAAATATGCTTATAAAAAAAATTGACTGCCGAAACTTTACTTTACGTTTGAAAATCAAACAAGTTTATTTTTGTTTATAAAATACTAAAAAGATGTCAATCATGATGGGTTTCATGTAGAATATAAGCAATTCTATTTTTTACATCTGTATTTTAAATACACATAGATGAAACTTAAATGACTACTGAAATAGTTGGAATGATTACAAGACTTTATGGTTAACATCACGGACATTAAGTGTAATCCTTTCAAGAATGTCATACTTCCGTTTTTAAAATTAAAAGGAAAGTATAAAAAAGGGAAAGTTGCTCCAATAATTTGCACTTCAAGTGTAAAAAAATGTCACATCATTGTGAACAATAAATTTTCTCTTAGGCAATGGTTGGTTAGATTATACTCTTCAGATGATTCATAGCCATTCGACGGCTTCAAGTACGTCGATAATTTGGAATTACCTATGATGTATCAATACATACTTATTATTATTATTTTTTTTTATTTAATAGGTCGGCAAACTAGGATTACCTGATGGTAAGCAATCAGCGCCGCCCATGGACACTCGCAACGGAGGAGTTACGAGTGCGTTGCCGACCTTTTAGGGATTAGGGATTTGGAGATTTAGGGATTTAGGAGGGATTGGGGGAGGGTAAGTATTAGGCCTCCGGTAACCTCACTTACACGGCGAAACACAACGCTGTGGTTATTTCACGACGGTTTTCTGTGAGGCCGTGGTATCACTCCGGTCGACCCGACCCATTCGTGCCGAAGCATGGCTCTCCCACACTTAAACTTATTGCACAAAGTTGCTTTAAACTTATTATAAAACAAAGTTGCTTTCTCTGCCCCTATTTCCCTGTGTATGCTTAAATCCTTAAAACTACGTAACGGATTTTGGTTTCTTTTAACAGAAAGAGTGATTGAAGAAGAAGGTATGTTTAATGTATAATATCATCTATAGTGAAGACATTTACTATCAATATTGCTTTGTACAAAGCCGGGGTGGATAGCTAGTAAAGAAATGCTAACTAAATCCAACGAAATGCGAAGTAGTTGGAAGCGATGAGCTGAAAACCGAGCTATCAAAAGATTCAAGGGTACAGCGTGGTCGGATAAATTAATTATACATTTGCTTTTTCATATAAAACATGTGCCGTGGCTGCATTTATTACAAACAGACTTAAAATAACAATTTGTGTATCACAAAGAGTTGGTTTTAGTGATAATCAAAAGCGGAAGACTTTGTGATCGGATTAATGACCCGGTCTCATAGAATAAGCGAAAAAAATCTGGCGTTGTGTTTCACCTTACTAGTGAGGTTAACGGAGTCCAATACTTCTCAAATCACTCACCCACTAGTAACTCCTTCGGGTGTTCACTGCTAGCTTAACATCTGCTCTTTTGCCGAACTATCCCATGAAAAATAACCTCAGTTAATGAGGCACCGCGACCTCGGCCCAGACCAGCTTACCCTAGGCGGGAGGAGTCATTTGATGATTTTCCCCTCACAAAAAAAAAGTTGTCTGTGTATAGTCATTACTGAGAAATAGTTTATTTCAGATCTCTCTGGTTATGGCAGTTATTCTTTAATCTTATTTGCCAATTGGTATTATAATCATCCTCTATTATACAAATAATAGCGCTAATAATCCATTGTCAAAAATCCAAACTTCTAAACTAACATTATAAACTAGAAAGTAACTCTATCTGTCTGTCTTTTCTTCACGCCTAAACTACTCAATGTATTTATGTGAAATTTGGTACTGACAGTTTGGAACTCGAGAAAGGATACCGGATAGTTTTTAAACAAAAAATCTGCAGGAAGTCACTATTCCACACGAACAAAGTCGCGGGCAAAGGCTATTACAAAATAAATGAAACAATATGTAAAAAAATAAATTATTATATTTATTTACAAACAAAACAGAGTTTATAAAAAATGTAATCTTATTTTATTTCTACTCTTATAATAATTAACAAATTTTGTGAATACATTTATACAATAATAGTATTTAAAATTATTTTCAACATAACAACAGTCTTACAGGAACCTTTATACCTCAGTGGCCGTTCCGTTTGAAAAGTTCAATATTTTAATTGAGGCTTTTTACTTTATAAAGTTTTGTTCTTAAAGTGGTATTCAAATTTGATTTAGTTTCAGAATAAATATAGTATGTACATTACTTTTGTAGTTTTTATACTTTTGTAAATCTTATCTCTTCGTATGTCGCACGTAGATTGTAGATGGATCTATTTGGTCATACAGATATATTTTACAGAGAATCTTAATCATAACATTAATATTACGTAGAAACTAAACCGAACGTAAGTAATGTATTAAGTTAAACCTATTATTAATGATTGAAAACTGTTACTACAAACGAAATTAAGATTACGAAGCCAGACAAAAGAGCCGGAGAACCGTTATCCTCATCATCAGGCTCTTCACCACTGCCAATATCATCATCACCACCACCATTACCGTAATTGTCCTGAAGCCAGTCCTCAACAATGGCAGCGTTATCAGTATTCCATGTAATTGAGGCAGCAATATTTTCTCTGATTCCAGCGATGGATGCCAGCTCTCCAGCGGTTAAAATAGATTGATGGCGACTGCTAAGCTCATCGATCTAGACAGGGCATAAATATTGAAACGTAAGACACGTGTGTGTATTATACATACTTAAGAAACAAAATCAATGGTGAAAATAAAATTTTGGTACGTAATGGAACCAATTCTTGTATCAAAATGAATCAGAAAGATTACCTTGCTGGAATGTTCTTGAGTTGTTAGTCTTCTGGCGAATGCGTTCAGGATGTTGGTGGTTCCAGTCAAACCTTGTACTCTGTAAAAATATGTTAATTGTCAATAATATTGCATTAAAATGAAAACAGTAATATAAACATTCAAAAAGAATTTTCGCTGTTTAAAAATTTTGGATTCTTCTTTGGAGATACAGCGGCGCCGACCCGTTGTAAATAAAAACGAAGAAAGGTTTCAACGATAAAGAATTATCTTTCTCATTCAACACGTCAGGACAAAAATATTTTACAAAAAATAAATTTATGAATCATTTGACATCACAGCATTACCTTGGCTGGATAGCCGCGAAGTTCTCAATGACGAAATCAAGAGCAGCCTCTGTGCTCTCAGGGCTGGCATTGGTGACAGAGACCAGGATGGTGTGTCTGTCTTGTTCTCTTACAGGAGACGTGTCGCTGATAACTTGTTGCATGTAACTGGTGACAAAAAAGAAAAATGTGATAAGTTCTTTATCATAACAGCAAATCCTTTTCTATTCCTCTAATTTTAAGACTTCTTTTGGTTTCCCGACTAATTAATAGATTAGACCTCACTCATAAGATGTAAGTTTCAAAAAAAAAATACGGATGATAAAGCAATGTTGGACTTGTATGATCTAAACAACACAATATATCATTTGGAACGTGTCTTATTTTTTTGCTGTCGAAGGTTCAAGAAAATATTATTGTGTTAATTATTAAAAGTAACTTTTAGTAGTTACAGTGCAATGGGACTTTAGATTCAAAATTACATTTTCATTTATAAAATATATATTAATTTGTGAATCATAATAATACATTTTATAAGAAAATGTAATCCACGACGATTGAAATCATTTTTCAATTTTTATTCCTGGAACCCTTTCGTCAGCAACTTAACAATTTTTGTATAGGAAAAATTGCTTAGTAAAAGTCATACCAGAACTATCAAATGTAACTGTGTAATAATATCTAATCAGTCAGCCGTATCAAAAGATTTTATTATCTGCCGATAAATTGTGAAGATTATTGCAGATAGAATCCAGTTTATAGTTCGTGAACGAAATCTATCTATCTTTATTTCATCTGACCGTCTACTTCTATTAGGTATGACTATTTTAAATTAAAACTTACGACATAGTTTGACATATTCGTTAGATACATTTTATAATATTCATTTATATTTTTTTCACACGTACATATCTACATTTCTTACAATTCTTTCCTTCTTCAAAAAACAAATACGTTGCCTCACACTAGAATTTTCTCCTGTTTCGTGCGTTTAAAACCATACTATTACACATACACATTTATTGTCGTCGTGTATCGAGTTAGATGAACGCCTCATTATACAATATGATGAGTTTAAAATACGAAATCAACCTTAAATTATTGTATATTATGCTACTTACAACGAACGACGTTCAGCATTGGAGGTGCATCCAAGAGCATTCAGAAGGATGGACTGCTCGCTGTGATCTTGGCTGCTCAAGTATCTTTCCCAAAGGAAGTCGAAGTTCTCCACACTGCCACCACGAAGACCAGCGCAGTACACCAGGTTTTGAATATCAGGGTTCAATGGCTGCTCTGTATGGCAAAAGAAAATTTATTTAATTATCATTTTATTACTTTTGAAAATAAACACATTTAATTTTTGGAACCGCTGTTCGGTTTGCCAAAATTTACTGATAGATTTCTACAATGCTTTTGAGTGCCATAGGCTATCATCAACATGCAAACATGAACATCATGCAACGATCAAATATAGCTGGGCAGCAAGTGAAACCGCACAAATAGCTAGTAACAACATATATTACCTGGGTTGTTCTTGAAACCTTCGAGCAGGCTCTGAGCAGTGCTGGTACACTCAGCGTTGCCGTAACGGCAGTTCAGATCCAGGATGATATTCCTGTGGTAAGGAGTCACGTGTTCCTCACCATCGGCTGCTATAAATCCAAGTTCTTCGTACAGAGGAGCGGTCAGCTGGCGAACGTATTGCTGCAAAAAAGTAATAAGCTTTAGCACAAAACATTTTTGGGTCAAAGTTCCTGACCCTCATGATCCCTCTGTAATATCCAAAACTAACCTGTTACATGCCAATTATCGTTGACTAAATCCTGTTGCAAAAGTACGAAACTCCGGAGAAACGATCAAAACGTGCGATAGTAAGTAATACCAAAGATCACCGGTGTTTACGCGATATTAAATTTGAATTCACATTACATCACATCATCAGCCCATAAGTGCCCACTGCTGAGCTAAGGCCTCTTCTCACACGGAAAAGGTTTGGGCATTAATCACCACGCTTGCTCAATGCGGGTTGGCAATTTCAAACTTATAATTAGAGATTATAAGTCCAGGTTTCCTCACGATGTTTACCTTCACCGTATGTCAGAGGTGTCTAAATAATCATATAAAGAACATATAACTCGGAAAAAGTCACATTAATTCTTGCCAGGTTACGAACCTACGCTCTCATGCATGAGAAGCGGGCCCCTTAACCTCCAGGCCACAACGACACACGACTTAAATTTGAATAAGTCATACGAAGTAAGCTGGCAAAAAGTCATAGTATAGTACTCACTTGGAACAGACTGTAAATGCTTGATCCACTAAGGACTGAGTCGAGGTATGTGAATGAAGGATTGATAGCGCCCCAAGGAATATAATCCTTCTCCTTAACCAAGTATCTGGATAAGCTCAAAGCAATTTGGTAGTTCTGAAAACAAAAAATTATGTAACTTTTAATTTGCTGGCTAGCTATGTTTTAAAACCGGGAAGAAAAAAAATACTACTCTTCTACTCACAGTTGCGTTAGTAATACTAAACAACGAATCAAGATAATTTTGAAATAGTTTTTATTGTTTGGTCTACTCGTTTACTTACATAAGATCCAGATACATACGAAAGCGGTAAAAAAGTAAAAAATACATTAAGAATTAATAACATTTATAAAATACCTAATAAACGTATTAAGTTTATTTTTATACTATTTCGGTTTATTATCATCATTGGTAAATATAATTTTTAATGTAGGTATTACTTAATTTTAAATTTAAATGTACACCTAACTATCCCGACTTAAGTTTCATTTATAAATTTCCATCCATGGGCTGTCTGGAAAAAACCGTCTTTTGTGATAAGAATTTCCATAAGATTGTGCTCTCTTTATTCTTTTTTTTACGTTTTTGCGTTGCCCTATAGTAGGATCTTCCCCTGTACTATGAGTTCCTTTACAAACATACAAACTAACATACATAAACCACCCAAACAAGAAAAACAACAATTTGTGGATGTTGTTCAAAATGTTGTTCTGAGAATCGAACCCAGAACACGTTGTACAGCAGTCCAGCTTCTACGCCCACCATGCAGTAACAAATTCTATTTACCATGTTTTCTGTGTAGATATGTATTGTGTGTAGAATATGAAAGAAATCAATAAATGATGAAAATAGTAACGTAATAAATGGAAGCATTTCCAGAAATCTATACAACAGTAATTAATTCACGAACAAAAGCCGCAGCATAGGCATACTCTCTCATAATAAAACTTGGTCAGTGCTCTCAGACTCGTACAATTTGTATAGCACAAGTTGCAGTGAAGCTGAGCCAGAATCTCGTTACTATTCTGTTCAAACCAGCATGGCAGCAGTTAATATTGCAAGCCACAATCCTGTTTTATTCCACTCCAATTATCGCCGCGAATTGAAATACCTTTTGTGTGCGCTCAGAGTAATTTAAAAAAGAAGAATCCAATTTTAATTGTTTTTTGTATTTGGTTTTCTACATTAAGAAGCATGTATATTATGATGTCATTTCTAAGAGAATTTTGTCAAATTATTCATAAAACGTTTGTTAATACTTTGTGGTTAGTTTAACTTATAATCTTAAATGCTTTATGTAATTCAAAACGGGTTAATGTTGTCTTTTTCATAAGCTGATGTCGACATAAACAAAATCGAATCATCCCAAAGGTCTTAGTGCTAGATACAAAATAATACAGTAGTTAGTATTGATTGTGTTAAGTTTTTTAGATTCACTAACTTTAAAACTTTCGTGTTTCATGTTAATATAATATAATTGGGTAGTTTCCTAGGTCAAAAATAAATTAATTTGACGTTTGAATACAATAAAATATTAAAAAATAACTATACTTTTATTCATCGATCGATCGATACACTAAGTTTTAGATATTATGTAGCTAATTATGTGCACAATAGTGTTATAATGTTAGGTATACTATCTGTGGAGGCTTGTTGTTCATCATCATCATCATCATCAGCCTGTTGTCGTCCACTGCTGGACATAGGCCTCCCCAATTGCACGCCACGGCTTGTTGTTAGCAATATTCAAAATAATTTTTGTTTACTGACATTATAATTAGACTGTAAGCCTTCTTTAAAATTAATAAAAAAAAATAAGAAATAAGTGAGCTATTATACGCAAAAATACTATGACGTCATAACTCAGTTTTTCATACAAATTTCATAGAAAAGTATCGTTTTTGACATTTAGATAAAAGTATTGAATTTGACTAGTTGGAAACTACCGTATTACACGCGACCCTGATCTGTGCAACCAGGTCGTAACGCCAAGCCTTCCAAGGTACTTTTTTTCATTTACTTACCAGACGTCCATTTCTGGCTAGGTTGAAAGCATCGTCCAAGAGATTGGCACGGTTCAGTACGTGGATCACGCTGTGGTCGGTATCCAACGCTCCCGCCAACGCAAGCCAGTTCGAATTCTCGTAATTCACTCTGTAGTAACCTAAAAACGAAATGATAGTATTTATTACGTAACACACAATAGTTACAAATGGTTCTCTCTTTACGAGAGATTATCAAAATTAAGATTATCAAATTAAGAAAAGGGTGACCTTTTCCTGTTTTTCTTAGTAATCAATCTCATATTATTGACAAAACATTTATTAAAATAAAGAAGCTGTTTTTTCTAAAGCAAAATTTTTATACAGAACCTTAATAATAGAAAATTATAATTCTTTAAATGCTTAAGAAGGACGTACCAGTCTGTTGTTTGTTAAGGATGTACCAGTCAGCTTGAGTCAGGCCGGGAATATCGAAAGATAGTGCTGGGAAGGTAGGTCGTACCCAGGCTTGTGGTTTGGTGTCAGAAAAGTCAGGGTTTGTGGACAGGACCCAGTTGATGGGTACGTGCCAGCGGTCTGGAGATGTTAGTTTATTGTCGGTGAGGTAACGTTCCTAGGGACAAAAGAGAGAGCTCAAGTATTCATGATATAGATGATTTTGAGACAATATTCATTATCAGAATATACTATTTTCATTATGTAAATCCACGAGAAAATAAGTCCTTTCATATAGTCCAATCAAGGCGCGGCTAATGGCTAATGTATATGATCTACTGCCTATAACCATTACTTTAAACCACTTTGTATACATAAGCTGTGAGCCTACCTTATAATAAATAAATAAGGCGCGAATAGTCGACATCGTGTATACATTGACGTCACGTCATTGCGACGTGTATGTTAGTCCTGAATATGACCTGTTGTTGTTGAGGTGAAACTAATAGACCTTTTTTAATTAATTCACGAGAGGAAGCCGATATTTTCGATAATAGCTATCACACAGAAATAAACATTTTAAGAAATATAATGTTTTTATTTAAAAACATTCTCGGTTCTCGAAGTTTTAAACAGTCACCTTAATTTATTTACTTTTTGTACAATATACTTCACTGAGTCTTTGGCGGCACCTAACTCGTTAGTCATAATAAAGTCGGATGAAACAAAGCCTGCATAATCAGCGCGGCACAGATTAATTCTGCAGTACAAACTACATTGCTACTTATGTTTTACGACTACTGCATACCTGTGGAGCTTTACGAGAAATGTATTATGAAATAGGTTCGTAAATCTTTGGAATTATGATGCAATGCAGATATTTTAAAGAACATTATATAATATGCTAGCCTTGAATTTGTCTTGAGTATTATCTGAATCTGTATATCAAGACACATAATACTCATAACCATACTCCTTGAACAATATAAAAACAAACTGAAAAATAATTTGAAATCGGTTCTTTTTTTTAATCTACCTAATCCAACGACCAATTAAACCTATTCCTATTTTAGAACTTCAATAGTGAATGTATGCAAATAATGTATGTTTTGATTATAAATATAAACAACTAGCAGCTCGCCCTTGCTCCGCACGGGTCTCATCATCTCGCTTACGATAAAAGGGTCCCTATTACCCAACTCTTCCCTCTACTTTTATTTCATAAGAACCTTCTCCTGACAATAAAACACATAACAAAAAAGAATCAGTAGAATTGGTCCAGGCGGTATTGAGTTATGTGCTTTTAAGTGTGGGAGAGCAAAGCTTCGGCACGAATGGGTCGGCTTGACCGGAGTGATACCATGGCCTCACAGAATACCGGCGTGAAACAACCCAGCGTTGTGTTTCGCCGTGTAAGTGAGATTACCGGAGGCCCAATCCCCCCCCCTTCCCCTATACCTTCCCGATCCTTTTATCCGCAACCTCACAAAGGCCGGCAACGCACTCGTAACTCATTTGGTGTTGTGGGTGTCCATGGGCGGCGCCGATTGCTTACCATCATACGTCTGCTCGTTTGCCGGCTTATACCATAAAAAACCAACATATTTTGAGATACATTTATATATACATATATTATATAGGTAGATTATAAGAATCTTACCTGTGCAACGGTAATTGAATTGGCAGCGGCAGCGCTTCGTGTGACTGTCAAAACCGGGAAACCACCCTGGTACGCCCAACGGGACATCACATCGATAATTTGGAAAGGAATAGTATGATCAGACTCATCAAGTGCTTGTTGGAGAGCGCTGTATAGTTGAGAGGGAACCACTGCCTCGCGGGAGCTGAAAATAATTTAGTTATTTAGATTGATGAATGTATTGAGATTAATAAGCATCATACATGTGTTTCCCAAAGTGACGGTAAACATTTGTTTAAGCAAGCTGATAAATTTCCAGAAAGCACCGAAAAGTCTGGGTCTTTAATAACATCACCATATTACCACCATATATAATAACATCACCGATATTATAACAATGAATTTATTTGCGTAGTAAATTAAGAAATCGATTTTTATATCCAAACTCTAAACACAGTTTTATAACACTCCGATTGTAAATACTTAATTTTAATAGCAAGGAAAAACGTTGAAATTAACTGAATGCAACTTACTGTTTTTTTATGTAGATTGCTAATCCCTTGCGGAATACTTCTGGTGTTAAGAAATGCTGCATCATACGAATCACGGAACCAGCTGTGAAACAAACATACATGTCAAATTAGTGAGAGAAGAGGTCTAGACTAGTTGGACAATTGGCCTCCGGAATATGACTTGGCAACATTAATTGTTAGCTAGCTAGTTAGTTAAGCTCCATTACAAGTTGTTCAACATTTGTCATTATCATCAGACCACCACTACTAGGCCTCCTCAAAACATGGGCCTCCCTAATTTAATAGTCATCATCATCATCGTCATCTACGTATAAATACCCACTGCTAAGCAAAGGCCTACTACTACGCGTATTCACCACGCTTGCTTAAGGCGGATTGGCGATTTCACTACGACAACATGACTTTACTTAATTGAATATTTATGCAAATAAATAAAAACCTCATTTTATGCGTTTTTTTTAAATAAATATTAGTGTAAATACGTGTAAAGTATCAAAGGAGAAGATTTCGTTAGCTGTTTTAAAAACGTAAGCACCAACAATACCTTAAGTACGTATTTATTTATTTATTTAAAATTAAGCACACCAACAATACAATCACACAATGTTATACAAAAAACTCAATAATCAAATAATTGGATATACATAACTATTATCGCCAAGTGAACTATAATTAAGCTAAGCATATTTAAATGGGCAATTGCTTGAAAGAAATGTACATGAAATTGACGCCAAATATCAATCATTCACCAATATAGTGATAAAAAGCCAAAAAGGGTTCTATCAGTAAGTAACGACTCTGATGACGTCATGACCACGAGTGGTTGTACAAAAACGCAGTTCAAAAAGTTCTCGAGCAAATACAAATATTGTGCTACGATAAGAAATCGATACTAGATAGCATTATCCTAAAAAGTTGTTACAAAAGTCATTTCACATGTCACTCGAGATAACTGGCAAGTGATAGTAGGCGATAGCATGGCGTATCAGTTTCTCAATTCTGATAAGAATACATTTCGTTCTGCAAAAAAAAAAACTACGTTGGGGCCATTAAAAAGAAGCGTTTTAAGCGTGGGCGATCCATATTCGGAATGAATGGGCGGCCCCGACCGGAGTGATGCCTTCCTTGTCTTTACAGAATACCGGCGTAAAATAACCAAAGCTTTGTATTTTATCTTGTAAATGAGGCTAAAGAAGGCCCAATTCTCCCCTCTTCCCTATCCCCAATTCCCAAAAACGCTAATCCTTAATAATGTTTTATTGACCCACAAAGATAAAATAGAAGTATTTTTACAATTACACGTTTGTTTCGTGGCCCCGAAATAGGTGTAAGCCATTTTTTTCGAGATTTGACACAATCTTATATCGAGGAAGAGAAAAGGTAAGAGAAAATTAAAAGAAGTTCCAATTATTTTTAGGGGTATAGTTCAATCTCAGAAATATAGCATGACGCTCATACTGTGGCCATTGTAAAATAAGTTAAAGAAATAAAAATACTTTGACGCTTTAACATCGCTCCAACTTCAACTATTTGTGTGACCCAAAAATTGTTGTTCTGGGTATGGGTGGTACACAGGCGAAAATTCAAGTGTGGGCAACGTTTTTTTAAAAGAAAAAAACCAAAGGCTCCAATGAATGTAATTGGCCTTTTATTTAATTAAATTTTCGAATATAGTGTTTATATAATAATATTTATTTATATATTAATAATAATAAGGTATTTTTATATTCTACAACTGTCGAGTTTGTTTGTTCGCTTTAGCGCCCTGATCTCCGGAACTACTGGTTCAAATGGGAAAATTCTTTTTCTGTTTGTTATTCCGTGTATCGAAGGACAAGAAAGGATATAAAAACAGCAGCGGGTAAAACTAATAGAGAACAGCTAGTTGTATATCATATATAAAGAAATAATGTGATTTACTTACATTTCTGATAGGCAACAGCATTGAAAGTTCCAATAATTTCGGAGGGCGAGTATACAGGGTGGGTCATTGGGTTCACACTAAGAACAGCGTCAGACTGTAACACGTTCTGGAGAGCTAGTACGAACTGATCCATCATACGCCAATCTGGCTTCACCTGAGGAAATAAAGCATCAAATAAATAAAAAAAAAGTGTCTCAATTGAATCGAAATTTGGTCTTAACTATATTTTTAAGGTATGAAAAATTCTAGAAGAATTAAATAAATATTGTATATACTGACTTTCATAAAAAGCATAAAGAAACTACTGTAGGAACTATTCCATTAATTGTTTTCCTAATAAGCAGTGCATTCATCCTCTTTCTTAATAACATGTTGTAAACACTTTGTGTATTCTTAAAATACCAATGCTTTAATTACACATTATGACATCCAAAAAAGAAATTAGATTAAATTTAAATATTTAAATAAACGATGATATATAGATCAGGGGTGACGATGGATCTTAAAATAAAATAATTAAAAATAATAAATAGATATATATGCATTTACCAAATCGGTAGCGAAGTTTTCAAAGAAGTTGGCAAAGCCCTCGTTGAGCCAAGTGTAAGTCCAGGAGACAGGGCTGACTTCATTTCCGAACCATTGGTGAACATTTTCGTGGCAAATGATTCTACCAACATTCTGTCTTGTAGCAGTGGTCGTCACTCCATCAGTGACCAGAAGAGCTACTTCTCTATAAACGAAAAATAAATAAAAATTATGTTCAAAACATAAAAGTCAAAATCATTTTCTCCAACTAAACCTTAAACAAGTACTTTTGAAACGTCAAAATATTATATGATTATAGAGATATTCTATCGGACAGTTCGTCAGTGAAGCTAGGTGCATAAAATTTCCGAACATTTAATTTCAACATCAAAGACTGAAAAATGCATACCTGTAAATGACCAATCCCCAGTTCTCCATAGCACCAGCAGCAAAGTCAGGAACAGCAGCTTTGTCGAGTTTTGGAACATCGTATTTAAACTCAGTGTATTTTTCTAGTTCTACCATGTTCTGTTGACCAAACTCCAGAGCAAAGGCTGCAGTAGCCTGGGTACCAGGTCTGGACCAAACTTTGAATGGCACGGAGTAGATAGGGTTGGCCTCGTTGCTAACTGATTGGAAGTTTGACACAAGGTACGCCAGTAGGTATGTGGACATCAACGGGGTATCTTGAAACTCGTGTTTCACCCATCCCTGAACGTCTGGTCTGCAAAAATAATATAGTGATTAGAGCATGGAGGGTTCTGAAAATAAAGCATTTGCTAAATGCAAATTTTTAAACACTTGTAAGGAAGTGCTTACTAATAAATATTTTATCATTCATTTAATTTTGAACTCAGTGTTAAGAAGGAGGTAGGTTCATTCATAATTAGGAACAACGATATATTGATAATCACGACTTACATACTTGAATGAACTGAGAAAAGTCTCTACTAGTTTCAAGTCTGAGCTAAGCTGCTTATGAATAAGAGTCCCGTTGTCACTTGAAACTAGTACAACTAAATTTCACTCACGACATTTATTATATACAGCAAATTGTAAGACATGATTTTTTCCTATAATTTATAAATGTTTCTAAATAGATGTACTTACTTTTTCAAGTCATCGTTAGGCCTCAAAGGCATGTTGCTCTCAACTACGTTATAAGTGGGTCGAGCGTAAATGGTAGTCCTGAATCTAGCCTTGAAGAAGGGTTCATCGAAGCACGGGAACGCACGGCGGGCAAAAGTAGGCTGCAGCTGTGATGTAATGAGTTTTCTGAAAATGTACAAATCCTTTAATATGCTTTTAACTTATAGTTGGTTTACTAAAAAAACGTTACAAGACAGTGCTCAAAACATATCGTTATTGTTTCGGCAGATGTAAGAAGTAAAATAATATCATTTAGAAATCTGTTAAGTTTTATATAGTTATACACATTTAATATTTAATTTTAACTGATGTCTAGTGTCCCATCGACCGCATAGTCAAACTTTTGCAACGGTTTTATGGGGCTTAGCTTATAAAATTCTCAACTTTGTGGAATAAAGATAAATTAATAAACAACAATAAATAACATTCACCTGAAACAATAATCAGAAATGCTAGTAATGCTAGAAATATTTACATTTATTTCATGTTGCCTCGTAATACGAGTTCTTTAACAAGATATCTGGTACTGTCTGTGTTATATGTGGAAACAGAGACTTTCCAGAAATGTGAATGCATTATGTATAAGACTGTAGAGGGCCACACCAACTTTTATTATGTTTTCTTTGTATAAATTTCTTTTAGCGTGTAAATCTAATATACTATTCGAGTGTATTGTGTATCATACCATTTTCGCAGACACGTCTGACTTAAAAAATGTTATTATTGCAACTTTTGGCCAAAACAGCCGAAGTTTGTAAAAAAGTATGTATATTAGAATATTGCAACATTGCAACAATTTCCAATATGAAAATATCTTACAGAAAAAAAATACATAATGACATTCTAACTACTAGTCATTAAAATAGTAAAGAAAATACTCACTCCGTCTGACCAGCGGCATTTGTGTAAGTCGAAACGTAAATACCAAACATGTTAGTAGCGTATTGACCTCTAAATTGCTTGAATCTTAGAGTGTGGACACGAGCAGCTGGTATGGTTTCACTCAACTGGATCTTGAGCAAATGTGTGTCATCGGAAGCCAATGTATGTGAGCTGTATAAATTGTTTGTAGGTTGGAACTCATTAAACACTTCAATATCAGCTGCATTTATTTGCATCTCCATAGCCTGAAGGACTATTTCATTGGTGTCCGTTTGAGGGATGATTCTGATGTCAACTGATCCTTCGAAATATGCTTCATTGTCGGGGTCCAGGTAGAGAATGACGTCGTAGAAGGATGGCAGTATATTTTTGGGAAGAACGTATCTATCAGCGTGGCTCTCCTCTGACAATTGTGTCAAGGGTACGGCAAACGCCGCCCCGATAAGGGAAAGTAGTGTCAGTAAATACATGTCTGTAAGAGAAAAAAAGGATTAACTATGACTGTTACGTCTTCTGAAGTGTATCTACAATCTACATACATGACAAAAAATTGTACCATATAGGTACGCAAAAAGTATTAACCATGGTCCTAAAGTAAGCAAAAGGTGTAAATTTTGATCAACAATTTGGAAATATTGTCGAGCTATTCTGTGTGAATTGGAGGACTAAGGGAAGTGTTTATCAGGCATGGAGGTCTTCCGTCTGATGATGATGATGATGTTGAAAATGATCAATCTCTTCCAGATAGCTCTACCAACCAGGATAATATTTTGTTGGTTACATAAACACACATTGGAATTTCCTGGTAGATCATTGATAAATAACATGATAACGATATCTATAATGTTTTCTCTATATTATATCTACCAAGCTTTAAGTTCCGTGTTCAATTCACCGAATGACCAAAAAGAGGCGAATTGGTATAATTTTTTTAATATATTGAGATTTTTTATTAAAAAGTACTATTTGATCTTTGTACAAATTTAACCTGTTTATAAACCAATTCTTACTTCTTTATCATCATCATCATCATTATCAGATTCTAGCCGTACTATTACCGGGAGAGCCTCGTCTTACACGGACAAAGAATAATCACATACTCAAGCTTATCATAATTCAGCGAAATTATAAAGACCAAGTTTTCTCGAGGTGTTTTCCTTCATCGAATGTCTACATAATTTTGAGTGCTTAGAAAGTACATATATTTTAAGGCAAGTTTATGTACTTGCGAGATGTCAAGCTGTTACCTTCGGGCTTGAGTAGCGTGCAAAGAAAGATGTAAGATCTCATCATTCATTTTCATGAAATATTTTTCAGTCAATTTTTGTAGGTATTAATTTTATCTCACCAAATCCGTCTCATAGATTATTTTGATAAAACGTTTAGACCGGCACATACCTACATAGATAGGTTATCAATATCGATAATATACAGGTATATTGTACAGCGATCCACTTGACATAACTGAAGATGGAGTTACCCAATCGTTCGAGTAGTCTCAATATTTTAAAGTCTATATATTATAAAACGTCATCGGAAAGACGTTTTTTTAAGATATGACCTATTATTTGCTTTAACACGAAGGGACCAAAATGTCATCTCAATAATTTGATTTTAGATACCCATAATTAGATTTTTCTGAATAATAATTTTTGGTTCGCCTTAGATATAATATAGAAACGCAATTTAATATCGGTACCACAAAAAAAAAACATTTTAACGCCTAAAGATTAAGTTCCGGATTAGTTTCTCAAGTAAAATAAAGGATTAAAGGCCGAAGTTAGCACAATAAGGTACTGCGGCGTCGGTCTAAAGCAGGGTCAACGGCTAGGCTTTGTAGTCAGTAAGAGTCTGACACTCCTTCTCGCCTCACCCTGGGCAAGATGATACATTTTTTGGTTTTCTAGAAGAAGACAACTCTGGTTGGTTTGGATAAGTTTTACAATGCCTGAATGATTGCTATGTACCAGATAAAATTGAATGTATAACGTAATTTTTATGCGCTATATGCCACATTATGAGTTTATCAGGAAATTAAATTAAAGTTCTGGCCTTAAAATAGCTCGATTAAAAATAACTGACAAAGATTTCACAACATAATGCAATCTGATTTTTGCTAATATAGTTCGTTATAAGTAAGTGTATTTTGCAAAGGGTCTTCATTCCAGGTTCCGGTAAGGAGTTCAACTGTGCAGCCCAAGCCTGGAGCAGAAGAAGAAACTGGGTGGATTTTATCATCAAGAGTCCTGACTCTGCCCTTACTGGAGAAAATATAAGATAATAATTATAGTATCTTAAGTATCTAAAGTCATTATTGGATATACACACACGGCTATTTAAGAAGATCCAATATAAGGTGACCGTTGAATGTGCGGATAGGCCTAACAAAACAAGCCCATGATACACTTGGTTCAAGCTATTTGCTTACCATTGCAAGATCGTTTTCTTGATTAAAAGAATTAAAACACAGAATAAGTAGATTAATACTTGGCACGTGTCGGCATATAATAAATGTATATCTATAACACGTTTTATACAAAGCATGTAGGTATACATATCTATCTTGTTTTTTGTTTTATCTTTACGATAAAATTCTCGAGATTTCCAATGTGGTAATGATAAACAATAACTTTTGTTGGCGCTCAGGAAAATATAAATTGCTCACATTATATGGTGGGTAAGTAAGGGTTTTCCGATTGCCAGGAAAATCGACTATGTCCAAAAAGGAATTGATAGTTATACATTACTTATATAGATGTCTTCGCTTTGAGAATTATGCATCTTAAAATCATTTTTAGATTAGGTAAATTCGATTAGATGATTTAGATTTGATTTTCTTTACCAAGATAAGTCCTACTAATCAAATATCGGCGATATTAAATTACAAAAACTAATTAATAATTGAATGTGATACGTAAAGAAACATTTTATTAAAATTCTCATTATTTCTTATAGATAGTTAAATTCTGAGACAAGTAACACCATCTATTGAAATTTTCGATAACTACTATGCTAACTTGAAAGGTGTTTAGTACCTTAGGTTACCGCGTTTGTATAAAATAAGTGTTGATTGGTAGACTAAAAAGTTTTTTGGCTGTATAATACTGTACATCAAAATAGTATCACTAGTGTAAAACAAAGTCTCTATCTCTGTGCATGCATGCTTAAATTGAAAACTACGAAACGAATTTTGATGCGGTTTTTTAAAAGATAGAGTGATTGTAGTGAAAGGTTTACATATGTATATTAACATCCATCAATAGTTGAGAAATTTAGTATCAGCTTTGCACCCAATCTGGGTCGTAAAATCGTTATTTTATGTATGTATCTTGACTTATATCTTATAATCAAATTTCATTCTTTACACTTAAAAATTTTCTCGTTTATAATATTTGTAAATTAGCTATAATAAAAAAAACATAACCTTGAAATAAATTAAATGAAAACAATTAACATAATTATCATTTCAGACTTTACTTTACTAAGTATTCGATAAAATCGATAAATATTTATGGTACACAAATAAAGTCGATAAGTGCTTATAATTTTTAGTTTAATCTAGTAATAATTAAAATTATCTGATTAGCTGTCGATTTTAAATGTATTTAATGCACTCGTAACTATTCAAATCCTGTTTTTCCCCGAAATTGTTTTTTTTTGTCGACTGTTCCCGATATGATTCTGACAAGGAATTCAAACTGAATTTCTAATGCTTGTCAATAAGCATTAGAAAGTCGGGATAGTGCCTATTGTAAATTGTAAGTAGGTTTGTAAAAGTATATATTTTGTTCGTGAGTGTCTTCTACAAAGATAAATGAATTTAGTAGAATCGAAATTTAGAATTCTGATTCACGCTAAAACATAAATTGCGAATGAAGAAACTTGAACTTTAAACTATTATATGCTTGAATCCATCATAGTCATGTGCTTCGAGACCACTTTTATGACCTTGGTCAATTTTTAAGTTCATTAAACTTTTACATGTATTTCCCGTCGTACGTGGATGACCAAATCATGCGTCATAATGACAGCTTATTTTACGATCTTCTCCGTTATAACTATTCTCAAACATACGTCCCTTTTCATAGCCACTGTTAACAAATTTTCTGAAGGGCTTGACAGAGATTGCAGCGTTCGAAACAAAAGCAATGCGATATTCAAAACACATATAAACATATCACCAAAGTAATCGATAAATTTTGGATGTATTCAAATAATCACATGTGTGTAAATAGAGTTAATATTATAAAGTAACTAAATCTTAATGACTCATTCATTAGCGTATGTACGTCAGTAAATGTTTGAACTATAAAATACATATTCTTTTATTTAAAAAAAGTCTATATAAATGAGTATATATAAATAGTCTAAAATGATACAAAAACATTGTCTAACAATTACCATTTGTTTTTTTTATTGAATTTATCCTTATTTGAATTTACAAAAGTAGATATCCTCCCTGCACACGGTATAATTGAAATTAATGTTTTGACTTTTGACATTGACTTCCGCGCCTGTATAACAAATGCCAGACCGTTAATGTGCATACGTCATTGATTAATAACCATGTAACATCCAAAGAAAACCTTTAAAAATAAACTGCCGGCTATTAATTTGACCTTATATCAAAACATGGTTTTATTAATGTTCGACATTTTTTTCAATTAAATAAATAATATAATGCAAAAATAAATAAGAATACAATGTAAAAAAAAATTAACAATGGAATGTCATAAAATAATTAATAAAAATTTTGGCTAAAGTCCGTTATAAAACGGCTTATCGTGAAAATGATCCTATTCTATAAATACTTCTTTTTATTTTTTAAAGATATAATTATTTAATAATACCTAAAACCAAGCCTTTGGTAACTGGTATAACTAAATCTGTTGCATACTAGTATTTGCAAAAAAAATAATTGCAAAACACTCACCTGTGCTAGTACTTACGAAGACACTACAATACTGGCGCAAATTAATCTACAATAGTATATAAACGTGTCATGATCTTTATCAAAAAAATATTAATTGATTGCCCAAAATTATCTTAGACGATTAGGGCATTTTAAAGTTGATACTCATTCCATGACAATGTCGCGATGTATAGATTATTTTCCTACATGTCGGTTGATTCACTAGTTCTAGTCCAGTTGGTTCCGTTTTTAAATCCTTATTCAATTGCTCGGTGATATACCTAAAGCATTTTTGTACATTACAAGCTATGATCCGAGGTTTTGCCTGCACGAATAAGAATTATTAAGCTTTCCAATCCGTCCCTGATCCCTAAATCTCCAAATCCCTAATCCCCAAATGGTTGGCAATGCACTCGTAACACCTCTGTTATTGCGAGTGTCTATGGGTGGCGCAGATTGCTTACCAAAAGGTAATTCGTTTGCTCGTTTGCCGACCTATAAAAAAAAAAGATTTTTGTTTTGTGAGGAGGACCATCAAATTACTTCTCCTAGGGTATTGTGGGAGGGAGTGTCAGCCTCTTACTAACTAAAAACCCTCGTTCCTATGCTCCGCGGTGCTCTGTCAGAATTATTTAACTTGTGTCCGTCTTTGGCATCATAATATTTATAAAACAAAGTCGCTTTCTTTGTCCCTATATCCCTAAGTACGCTTATGTACTTAAAACTATGTAACGGTTTTTTTTATATACAGAGTAATTAAAGAGGAAGGTTTATATGTACAGTAACATTCATAAAATAATAATTAATAATTAGAATAATTGATAATTTTGTTTCATCATTGCACTACTAGAACTAAGTAACGTCAAGTTAATAGAAAATAAAAACTGTTTTCAATTATTTTTCTATGGTTTGAACAATATATAAGCTAAGTTTTATAAGTGTGTCGTGGTGGCCCGGAGGTTAAGGAGCCCGCTTCTCATGCATGAGGGCGTGGGTTCGAAACCTGGCAAGTACCAATATGACTTTTTCCGAGTTATATGTACTTTCTATGATTATTTAGACACTACTGACATACGGTGAAGGTAAACATCGTGAGGAAACCTGGACTTATAATTTCTAATTATAAGTTTGAAATCGCCAACCCGCATTGAGCAAGCGTGGTGATTAATGCTCTAACCTTCTCCGTATGAGAAGAGGCCTTTGCTCAGCAGTGGGCACTGTTAGGCTGATGATGATGATGATGATGATGTTTATAAGTGTGTGTTACGTAGACTAAACGCCAATAATTGGTTTGAAAAGGCTTACACAAGGAGGTGCCACATCAACTGACGAGAAAAAGATGGTCTGAGAGACGGAAAATATAATATTTACTGACTCTATTCTTAAGCTGAAATTTGAATAATTGCGCGAAAGAATATAGGTCTGTTTCTTGTCTCACAATACAATATAATAAGGTCATCATTGTACTAATAGCGCGAAGGCTTCGTATTACTACACAACCATTAACAATTACATGACAAATAATAATGTAATGCTCTCTTAAATTTAGATTAAAATAATTCAATGGGCCTTTGCGAGATGGCTTCGGCCTTTCGTATGAATGCCAGTTTCACGGAACTTTGGCACCTATGGTCCCCTGAAAGGAAAATAACAAATATACTTATGTATTATATCATAGTTTTGTAAGATTCTTATTATTTTATTTTGTAACTTAAGTCCAAGCCTTCCATTAAACTGCAAATACTCTGGGATAGTGTCACCAACACACACATAGTTTAGACATAGAATCAATAGATGGCGTAAGTGAGAGGTTAAAGAGAGTTTGCTTGAGAGTTAGACCGAACTAGTACGAATTCTAGCCGCTACCTAGCCAGGAGCAGTCATTTAATGATTTTGGTCCATAAAATATCTTTTGTAGTTGCTTATCTAACACCAGTATGTAATGAATAGTGTTATGGTTCCAAAATAAGTGACAAATAA